GTGAGAGCAGGTGAGCTGATCCCCTTCCCTTCCCCCAAGGGTCCCCTACAACAATTGGGAGAGAGGACCCCGTACCTTACCTGGGTGAAATAGTAGAGCTGGCCATGCTGGTGGGAGTGTGGGTGAGCCGGATATGAGGGCCTGAGAGGAGGAGAACTGGCCCCACTCCTTAATTCAGGTTGAATTTGGTGAGCTAACCAAGGCAGTGCTGGAGAGCTTGCTTTGTAGTGAGGAAGAGAGAAAACTGGCACCACCATCCAGGCCCTGAAACAGGGTTATGAGGTAGCCCACCTCACCGTCCTCCTCAACTTTGAACTGTTGATGCATGTGTAGGGGATGAACCTAGAGCTCCCAAACAGCAGGAACTCCATGACACAGGACAATAACAGGATATTAAAGAGCAATCCCAGTGAGACCCCATCAACAGTCGTGTAGCAGAAGCCAGCCAGACCCATGGCTCCAATGACTGGTGGCATGTGCAGTCCAATAGAAGATGAATACACTAAGAAAAATTAAATTGTGTGACTCAACAGCTCCCAGGATAGCTTCCCTGATGAGATTCTACTCCTCCATTGTTTCTTTTTGTTTATATTTTGGTCTTTATTTTTTTACAAAAGGTAAAAGGATTAAAAATCCTCTTCTGCATGAGAAATGTGTATGTATATATATATATATATATAAACATATATATATACATATCTATACATATATGTACACACATGTATACATGTATAACATATATATATATACATATCTATACATATATGTACACACATGTATACATGTATACACATATGCAAATATGCACATACATCTGGGGGAGAGACATCTGGCTGAGTGTGTGTGTGTGTGTGTGTGTGTGTGTACAGGGTCTTGTACTAAACCTAGAATGCTGACATTTGTGTATAGAATATCTGTTTAGCAAGCTCTGACATCTGCCTGCTTCAGTGTCCTGAATGCTAGGTTTTACTTTCACACTAATTGGCCTAGCTTTTACATGGTTCTGAGGCGTCTCTACTCAGGTTCTCATGTTTGACCTACTAAGCCATCCCCCTACTATATGAAAAATATACTTAATTGTTAGTTCTCAATTTGACGAGAAAGGGGAAATTTTAAGAGCATACACTTAAATGTGACTCAGGATATTGAGTAAAACTCATCCTCCTTATCTGGCAGATCAACAAGGTAGGGTCATGCATTCAAGGCTCCACAGCAAGGCAGAATGTCCCTCTGACAGCTGTCAACCTGGGAAGAGAAAGAGGGCTGTGCCCTCCAGAAGAAATTCTGCAGGTGTCCATGTAGACTCTGCACTTGACCTCAATTTCCACACTGCAGTAGGTATTGCAGAGACAGGTCCATGCAGAAGGCCATCTCCTTCCTCTACCCTCAGCAGCGCCATGAGCTCTGAATGAATTCTAGGACAAGTACAAGGACATATCCAGCATTGACACCATCAGTCAGCAGTTCCTGTCCTCAAGACAAGATAAAAGCCTGTGACCTGGACAGAGCAGGAAGGAATTGCAATGGCACTCAGGGCAAAGACAGATGTGTGGCTGGCAAGACCCTGGCAGTGCCTGCACAAGACGAGGTCACTGGGCACAACAGCAGCACTGCCCCCCAACACACTGGGGCCCTTTGAATCCATACCACAGTACTCCAGAAACAGGTGGCTGAAGATGATACAGATCCTGAGGGAGCAGGGCCAGGAGAACCTGCACCTGGAGATGCATCAGGCCTTCCAGGAACTGGGGCCCATTTTCAGGTAAGGGTCTTCTGGACATGTAGCTGAGCATGGACAGAGCTTCCTGGCCCCATGTTGCTGATCCTCTTCAGGGATGAGGTGCTGCTGCACTCCCCAGGAGGCACCAGGCGCTCCCTCCTTAGGAAGACAGGGAGGGAACACAGGAGGTTATGAGCCTGACTCGTGGAGACCATGGTTCTCCACATGGACAGAGAAAGGCACAGCTCATCACTGAGAGGACAGAGTGCCAGGAGGGCTGAAGTGGAGAGGAGTCAGGCAGACAGTGGGAGAGCCCTCCAGGAGGGAGAGCAAGGGCTAGGAGAGGATGGGGTGAGAGGAGAGAACACACAGACAGGGCTGTTTGCAGGGTGCTCAGGTGGAGGGCATTCCATCCACAGGAGGGCTCTGTTCTTCACCCCATAGGTACAGCATAGGAAGCACACAGATTGTGTCTGTGATGTTGCCACAGGATGCTGAGAAGATATTCCAGGTAGACAATACACAGCCCTGCCGCATGCCCTTAGAACCTTGGATAGCCCACAGAGAACACCGTGGCCTGGGACGTGGAGTGTTCTTGCTGTGAGTTGCCATTGGGAATGAGGAGGGAGCTGAGACTATAGTCATGAACACAGGGTGGTGAACTGGCTGGGGTTATTGTGAAGACCCATCACTGCCAAGCCAAGCATTGATTGGTACCACGTGATGGTGTTTGTGGGTCTGGGGAGGAGGGAGATGGTCAAATAGACGTAAGAAAAACTAGGCTTCTCCATCCAATGCTTGCTCTGAGCATGTCTTCCCCGAGTATGGCTCTCTTTGCAATAGCATATAGCACACTCCAAGAAGGTTAGGGTGGGCAGATCCATTGGCTCAGGGCCATAGGCATCTTCTGCCACAGCCTGATGTCTCACGAGGCAGTCTCGTTTCCCTAGGAGCACCTTCACTCACAGAGATGTGCCATAGACAGTCCTGGGATGAGGGGGTGGAGAGGAGGAAGGTGGTGGCTCTTATTGGCACACCAAAAACATTGAATGGTGTGGTGACAGAGGGGTGAGTGGCCTGCTGCAGCTGGGTGCACAAATGGAGATGCAATTGGGGGCTCCTGGCGGCTTAGGCTTTATGAGCAGCAAAGGGCTTATTACTAGTGGCAGGAAATAGGAAGTCAGGTTGTGGACAAATACCTGAGAGCACATAAGACAGTATTTTCTTAGTAGTGATTTAGAGAAATGAGTTCCTTCAAATCTTGACTGAACCATCTGGAAGCAAGGAAATGCCCAACAGGCGGGGGCAGAGCCATGTATGTGTACGTGCATGTTCGTATGTCTTGTGTGTGAATGTTTGTGGTATTTAACTTGTTACTATTCATTTGAAAGTGTGACTATGTGAAGTGTCCAGATACAGGACTTTACTCTCTGAAGGAATGTGTATTTCCCTGTGTGTGTAGGGCTGTTCTCTTAGGTTTATGCACATAGGGACATAGGTGTCACGCAAGTTTTTGAGGTCCTGTGTGAGTACATGTGTGTATATACATGTGCTTGTGGCCACTGCCAATTGTTGCAGGTTTTAGCACACTGAAGGACAGACTAATGTAATTCTCTCTCTCTCTCTCTCTCTCTCTCTCTCTCTCTCTCTCTGTGTGTGTGTGTGTGTGTGTGTGTGTGTGTGTGTGTGTGTGTGTTTGAACTCCTGCTGTCAATCACTGGAGAATCTCCATGGGAGCCCTGTGCCCCCGGCTGTGGTCTGTGCATGTTGACTCCTGCTGTCAATCACTGGAGAGTCTCCCTGGGAGTCCTGTGCCCTGGGCTGTGGTCGTGCATGCTGACTCCTGCTGTCAATCACTGGAGAGTCTCCCTGGGAGCCCTGTGCCCTGGGCTGTGGTCTGTACATGTTGTAAGATGTCCTCTGCTGTGGCTCCTGCCCTAGGGAGGACGAGATCCCTTCGCTGAGACAGGCAGGTGCTGGTGACTCAGTGACAACACATTGTACAGCACTGACAGGCTTGATGAGCTCAGCTGGGGATTCTCCTCTGTGGGGAGGTGGGCATAGGCCAGGTGGGCAGAGCTTGACCCATGGCTGTGGATGCACCAAGTCCACCTTAGACTTAGTGAGCTCTGTCCCACACATGCATGCTGTGTTTATAGAAAGAAGTGGGGACAGGACCAGCAGAGTCTGCTTCTGAGCCTACACATCTTTGCCCAATTTCTTTGAGGGGCCGAAAGATGGGCACAGGCCTGGGCCAGGCCTATAAGGGGAGGTGTCTGTAGCTCTGTTCTGTGCCCTGCAGAAATGGGCCTGAATGGCGCTTAAACCGACTGAGGCTCAACCCATATGTGCTGTCACCAAAGGCTGTTCAGAAGTTTGTCCCCATGGTGGACATGGTAGCACGGGACTTCTTGGAGGCCCTGAAGAAGAAGGTGCTGGTGAATGCCCATGGGAGCTTGTCAATGGACTTTCAATCCTGTGTGTTCAACTATACCATAGAAGGTGTGTGGCCTGGGAAGGTTCCAGCTTGAGGGGGACCGGAAAGGCATAGGCCAAGAAATAGAAAAGGGGGACAGCATTGAGACCAGGAACTGCCTATGTTCCTGTGTTATATGTTCAGTGATAATATTCTCTCTGCAGCCAGCCATTTTGTTCTTTTTGGGAAGCGGCTGGGCCTCCTTGGCTATGACCTGAACCCTGGCAGCCTGAAGTTCATCCATGCCTTGCATTCCATAATGAAGACCACCCCACAGCTCATGTTTTTGCCCAGTATACTGACTCGCTTGACAACCCCCCTGGTGTGGAAAGAGAACTTTGAGTCCTGGGATATCATCTCTGAGTATGGTGAGGGCTGCTATCCTGGCAAGCACCATGGGGCAGGGGACAATGGTCACATGAGTCCCGTCCACATTCATTTCCGTCAAAGAGATGTGGCTGCCAAGGCCCTTCTCTTGTGATTCCACAGTGAGTTCAGGATTGTGTGAGCCAGCATTGGTGGCACTCAAGCAGGAAGACTGGGGTGCTAGGGACATGACAAGCTAGGACGATGTAGGAGAGGCCTCACCAAGCATAATGACTCCATATTTACTCTTCTTCTACAGTCACAAAATATGTCAGTGATGTGTATCAAGAGATGAAGAGGGGTCGCCCAAAGTTCTGGAGTGTCATATCAGAGCTGATAGCAGAGGGTGCTCTGCCAATGGATGCCATCCAGGCCAATTCTCTGGAACTCACTGCTGGAAGTGTGGACACGGTCAGGACCCCAAGGACCATAACTGCCACCCTGACAGCCCCTGGCGTCCCCCCAAAGCACAGTTCCCTGCTCACCTGGGTCATCATAGCCATTCTCTGAGAAGCCAGTGAAATGTCTGAGAAAAGGAAAGGGGATGGCAGCTGAAGAGTTTGTAGACAGGGCCTACACTTCCAAGTCCAGGCACAAGTCAGGTTAGAAAACCACACAGCAGCAGTCTACCCCTCACTACAAGACATGAGCATGCTCTGGGCATAGGAGGTTAGTGAGCGGCACAGAGTCCTCTTGCTGGACTGTGGAGCAGGCACCCTTGTCAGTGGTAACTTGAGACAGATGCAAGAAAAACAAGGCTGAGGAAGCAACAAACACCAAAGTTGCTTACTGATGCACAAGGGAAAAAAAGATTGTAGTGCAGTCTCATTGGAAATGTGGGTCCAGGTACAAATTTCCTGGCTGTCAAATGACCCTTTTCCAAGCAACTGCTCTGGCCTAGGCATCTTGATTAGGATCAGAGGCCGCACGTTCTAGTGCAGAAAGACCAAGAACAGAGTTCCCAATGCTCACACCAGGCAACAGTATTTGGGAGGGAATGAGGATCAGCACAGGGCTTATGGGAATGAGAAGCCAGAGCTGCAGAAAAGGTGCAGACAGAGATCAGAGAGCCCATCAAAGGGGGTCTGAAAAGCCAGAGTTGTATGCACACATGCCAAGGCTTGGGGAAGCAGCAAGGTACCCAAGCAGGGGACACAGGGCCAGATCAGGCCAACAAGGATCTGGTCCCCATTAGAAAAGCCCAATGAGCTGGGCTTTGGTGGCTCACGCCTTTAATCCCAGCACTCTAGAGGTAGAGGCAGGAAGATCTCTGTGAGTTCGAGACCAGCCTGGTCTACAAGAGCTAGTTCCAGGACAGCCTCCAAAGTCACAGAGAAACCCTGTCTCGAAACCTGCCACCCCCCCCCAAAAAAAAAAAAAACAGAAAAGAAAAGAAAGGACCATTAAGTCAGCATAAAACCAGCTTGATATGGCCAATGTGGAACATGGAAGCCAACTAGTGACTTCAGGGAGACACCTAAGAGACGGCTTTTATGGACTACAGCACTGAAAGAGGGATTTTGGATCAAGAGGCTCATGGCTCACACCAGTCAGGAGGAGTTAATGTTAAAGAGCTGACCCATTAGAGGGTTGGACAATAAGGACAATGGGGAGGGGCATGTGGACAGCCTATGCAGATCAGGTGATTGAGAAGGTAGATGTGGGTTGCCCAGTTTCCTTTAGTGACACACAGTCCATCTAAATGGACACCAGATCAGGTTGTGAGTACCCAACTCTGGAGATGCTGAGGTGTTGGCCAAGAGTGAGGTGTCATGGATTTTCCCTCATGATGTAGGGCATGAAGGTAAAGGGAACCTTTGAGGAGAAGGTTAGAGCTCTCAGGGTCCCACTTGGCTATACACTTTTCCCAGGGATGGGAATCTTTATTATTGGGATGCCATTGGGAGGGTCAAGCTTGGTGTCTAAGATTGCTCTATGGCTCCTGCAGACATCAGTGCCGTTGGTAATGACCTGCTTTGAGCTGGCTCGAAACCCAGATGTTCAGCAGGCACTTCGGCAAGAGAGCCTGGCAGCTGAGGCCAGAATTGCAGCAAATCCTCAGAGAGCTCTAACAGATCTGCCCCTGTTGCAGGCTGCCATTAAAGAGACCTTGAGGTGGGTGCTGGGTACCCTTTCCCTGCTGTTCTGTTCCTCTCTTTTCTGGGGCTGAGGAAAGCCATGTCTGCTCTTCTCCCTATGGCTAGACGCTATTGTTCCTCTGGAGGTTGGCTGAGGTGATCATACCTAGGAACCACGCCCTTGGGAGACCTGAGGGAAAAAGGAACATAGCTAGGGACACTTCTGTTCTTGCCCACCTCCAGGCTCTATCCTGTTGCTGCCTTTTTGGAGAGAATTATATGCTCAGACTTAGTTCTTCAGAACTACCATGTCCCTGCTGGGGTGAGTACCCTCATATACCCACCAATTGCCCTGTTCTGCATCACCTCAAAGAGGCAGCTCACCTTGCCCTTGGCATTTGCCCACAGACGGTCCTCCACATGAGTGTCTACTCCATGGGCCGAAACCCTGCAGTATTTCCAAGGCCGGAGCGCTACACGCCCCAGCGCTGGCTGGAGAGGAAAAGGAGTTTCCAGCACCTGGCCTTCGGCTTTGGGCTACGCCAGTGCCTGGGGAAGCGCTTGGCACAGGTGGAGATGCTTCTCCTGCTGCACCATGTGAGCAGCTCTGGAAGAGAGCAGTGGGATAGGGTGTGGACTGGATGGGTAGAGGTGGGCAACTAAGACAGACCTGCAGAGTTTATGTCAGCCTGGGGTGTCCTGCTCACCAGAACAGGCACCCAGAGATGGAAGGGCCTCAAAAATAAAGTGCAGCAGGATGGGATGAGCAAAGCAGTGTGGCCAAACAGAGACCAGATAGGGCCTTAATGGTGGCTTCGTGGGTGGGTATGGTCTCTAGAGCAGGGCTAGGCTCTCGGGGCCCCACAGGAGGTCGTCTTAGCAGCATGGTGGCAGCACTGAACAGCTTAGCAGGAGATGGGTCAGATGGAGATCCTCCCTTGTGTTCCAGGTGCTGAAATCCTTCAAGGTGGAGACACGAGAGCAAGAGGATGTGCAGATGGTCTACCGCTTTGTTTTGATGCCCAACTCCAGCCCCCTCCTCACTTTCCGGCCTGTAAGCTAGTCAGTTTTGCATCTAGGGTCCACTCAAGCTCCAGCCTACCTCTATCCTAACACCCAAGGTCATACATCTTTGCCAACAGGATGTTGTTTAGGGGCCACACTGTCATCCTTCAGCACTTGTAGAAGATTCCCACTAAAGACCTGCAGGGCCAGGGATTGCAAGGTCAGGGAAGGGGCTGGGATGATCTTGGAGACAACAACCAGTCCCTGCTGTGTGATTTCCCCCATCCTTTCAACACTCACTCCAGGCACCTATGGCCTCCAAGGGCCTCAGAATAAAATGGCTGTCTTCTCCCAGGAGGTCAAGGTGCTGACTGACGTAGACCAGTGTCCTTTGGACAAAGGTTTCATCTCCTGAATTGTGAAGGTGGCTCAGAACACAAGCCTCTTAGAGGTTTCCTTTCAGATGTGAGAGTTTAGGGGGGGAAATTGTCCAAGAATAACTATTTCATAGGATCTCCTGTCCTCAGTACTAAAGTGTATCTCCCTGAGCTTTATGTGCCAAACTCCAAAGACCACAGCCTTTGGGTCACTGTAGAGACAGCACCTCTAATGAAATAATTCATTGGAAATGGGGCTACTGGGCTGTGCCTAATCCAATCCCCCTGAGAGTCTCACAAGAGAGGGAGGTCACAGACCCCCAGAGACAGCTTCCATACAGAAGACAAGAGACAAGAAGTAAGTCTTCTGCAAGTCATGGAAAGAAGTTGAGGAATTCCTTCTCTGTCAGCTCCTTCACTCAGTCTTCCACTTGGTTGTGAAAAGTAACTTCTGTTGTTGAAGTTTTTTGCCATGAAGGTCGGGGCCAAGTAGTAGCACCTGCTAAGCAGAGAGCACCTGTGGCAAATAGTCTCCTAACACCAGGAAAAGGGTCTAGCTCATGAGACTATTGTGGGGTGGTGGGATTTTACCAGGTATAGCTCAATGGAAGGAAGTCTAGGCTTTAGGGGTGTGTTCTTAAAGGGATTTTAGGATCTGGGGTTCTCTCTTCCATTTCCTTCAAATCACAAGGAGAGCTGCCTCCGCTGCCTGTCCTCTGCTTGTGACATGCTGCTCATCACAGGCTCTAAGCAACTGGCCTGTGTGTTGTAATGATTAATTCTTTAATAATGATATTTTTTAAATTAGTACACAAAATGTTGGTTCCATTGTGATGGTCTCATACATGTGCTCTTGATGATGGCCAGTCTTGATTTCCACTTATAGATATGGCTCCACATCTGGGATTCACAGAGCTCTGAGATTTATTTATCTTTTGGGGGGGCAGTCAAATTAAGTGTTTATTGAGTGCCTGTTATGTGCTAAATATTGTTCAGGGTACTGGGGACACATCAGAGAATAAAACAAGGAGGCCTGCCCTCGAGGAGCATACAGGCTGTCACGTATGACCTCTTCACCTTCCCACTGCTTGTGACTCTGGGCAAGTCACTGCATCTTTCTGCCCAATGGGGTAAAAGAAAGCTGGGCTCAGTAGCTACTGAGCAGGCATACTGCAGATGCGGACCTGACCCACCACCACCAGACAGCAGAGAGGGCTGGATTTTTAATAATCAAGTACAATGGGGGGGGGGTTCCCAAGCTGCTGCTGCTGCTGCTGCTGCTGGCCTTGTTGGCCAGGTCCCTGACCTTCTCTGTAGCTGCCAGCGCTGTCTCCTTTGCCTTTTCTTTGGCCTCTCTGGCTGTCTCAACAAGTGTTTTGGAAGGGGCTTCACCTTGTAGCTTGGCCAAGTTGTACTCAAAGCCCTTCTTTGTCTTGGTCACATTGCTTTTGAACCGGGCAAGACCAAATTTCTGGACAGCTCTAGAGACGCCAAATAAGCTAGAGGAGACCCAGGCTTCCCGACGATTTCGGTCCAGCTTCTGTTGTCAGAGTTCACACAGTAAACACATCGTTCCTCCACCACCATCAGCCGGGCGTGGTTGATGTTCCAGGTGAAAGTGGTCACGGTCTGGTTCTGTGGGTCCACAATCGACTCCTCCAGGATGTACACCGAGTGGGCGAGGTTGGCAGGAAACAGTCGCTCTGCCCAACATGGCATCCTGTTGGTCTTGGTCAGGAGTCTCCAGGACAGAAGCTTCTGGTCAGGGGTCACCTCCCGGTGCGGTGCAGGATGTCTTAGGTTAAGACATGTTTGCTGTAGGGATTCGGGTACCGTTGCCGAAGGCAGCGAACACTTGGTCCCAGAAACTGTGGACCTTGCTCTGGCCGAGGAAATACTTCACCATGGTCCCGACCCGGGAAGGCTCAGCACCGGTGCAGCATCAGGGTGAAGAGCCCAGGGGTGGGGGCACGTGGCATGACCACCAGGCTGGCAGCTCAGTCACCGCTGCACCGGGCCCACGTCCCTACCACCGCCATGAGGGGACTATATCGAGCTCTGACATTTAAAAGCTACATTTAAGAGAGTGACAGAAGCCGGGCGATGGTGGCACATGCCTTTAATCCCAGCACTGGAGAGGCAGAGGCAGGTGGATCTCTGTGGGTTCGAGGCCAGCCTGGTCTACAGAGTGAGTTTCAAGACAGGCTCCAAGGCTACACAGAGAAACCTTGTCTCAAGAAATCGAGGGTGAGGGTGAGGGGTATTGTTTATCCATACTGAACTTACTCAGACAAACAAGATTTTTCATTCTCAGTCGCTCAAAATACACCTTAACAATATAAAGGAAGTTAAAAATGACAACAATAAAAATTACAAAAACATTGAACAAGACCCAATATCACTGACCTGTGTTTAGAATTTCTCTCTGAGTGCCAATTTTGCTACTTACCGAGTGCTGCTGTGTTGTGTTTTAATTTCCTTTGGGTCAAGGCCCTTCCTGATTCCCTAACTCCTACTTCATTATTGGTGTTCAGTGTGTGTTTACTATGTTGTTTGCATTTGAGAATTTCTACTTTTACTTGCAGCTTTTCCTCTAGCCTTGTTTGCCTTTGTGTCTATAAAAGAGGCCTTATGAGGTATTGGAGTTCTTGATCTTGGACTGTGCAGCCTCTGGAGCTGTCATCCACAAATGTCTAGTTTAAGCCTCCTGGGCTGTGGATTTTGTGTGAGGCAGTTTATACAGGCTACTGCACTGACTGGCATGTATGTCATGTTGTAGGGGAGCAAAAACCCCAATCAGTCATTACTCTTTTGTCATCTAGGTACTGATTCACCACTCCTTACACCATAGTCAGTCTCTAAGTAAAAGTCACTTCTCACACTTCTACATAGCAATTGGGTAATGACACAGCTTTGGGTTCACAAACAGAAATATAGCAAACTAAAAGCATCTATAGGATCCCAAGGAAACAACCAATGGCAATAGACACAATCTAGAGACTGGAAGGGAAAAAAATCAAGCCACACATTTATAAGCCCTTCATCCTCATGTAAGACATATACCTCCCAAAGTGTCACCCTCCAAAGACAGCACCACCAACTGGGGAGTGTTCAATCAACTCAATTAACAAGAGAACAAATGACAGGCCTAGCAAAGGGGCAAAGGATTTGAGCAGATATTCTTAAAAAGAAGACACACAAATGACAGTGGGAACATAAAAGATGCTCAACTCCACTTAGACAATCAAATTCAACCCACTGTGAGAGACACTTGATTTATCTGTGAGAGTGCCAATTATAAAAAGAAAAAGAAAAAGATCCTAAGCACAGGGAAGGGAGGAGGCAAAGGGCACCTCTGTACTCTGTTGGTGGGAAAGTAAATTGTCATAGTCACAGGGAAGAGCAGAGGCACCTCAGAAGTCAAGACCAAAACCCTCACACATGCAACAACCTCACAGTTTACACTCAAAGGAAACAGAATTTTTATGTCAAAGGGAGTTCTTCCTCCATTGAACCTGTAGCATTGTTCTCAACAGAGCACTCAAATTAGTGAGTAAAGGAAACAGTCCAAGCCAGGTGGTGGTGGTGGTGGTGCATGCTTTTAATCCCAGCAGAGCAGAGGGAGGAAGATCTCTGTCAGTTTGAGGCCAGCCTGGTCTACAGAGTGAGTTCCAGGACAGCCAGATATATGACACAGAGAAACCCTGTTGCAAATCAACAATAACAAAAAATAGAAAGAAAAAAGAAAGGAAGAAAGAAAAAGAAAAGGAAGAAAAAAGGAAGGAAAACTGTCCATAGGTAAGGGAATTCTTAAACTGAGCAAAGAGGGGAAGGAAGCATGGCATTTGCATCAACACAGAAGGATCCAGGGGGTATTATGTTAAGAAAAGCAAATGAAGCCCAGGGACACTAAGAGTGAGCATATAAGTAGGTGAGCTGAGGAGAGCTATGCTCACAGAAACAAAAGGTAGAAAGACAGTAGTAACCATTGGTTGGGCGTTGGAACAAGGCAATGGTTGACCAAAGGCAAATAATGTCAGTCAGCAGAGAGAATAGGTTCTAGAGATTTACAGAACATCACAGTGAGACCATCCATTGTCAATATGTGTTGTATTGTGTTGTCTTGTGTTGTATGCTTATAAATTGCCAAAAGATCAGACTAACTTCTCACCACAAAGAAGTGCATGCGAACTAAGTATGAATATTAGCCACATTTCTTGTTCCTCTTTATCAGAAAATCTGATAAATGCAACTTGAGGCAAGAAAAATTATTTCAGTTCATGATTTGAAAACTGTTGAGCTTCATTCCTGTTGCTGTGATAAAACACCCTAAACAAAAACCAACCCCCTCCCCCCAAACCAAAGGGGTTAAAGGGATTTCTTTTAGTTTAGAATTCCAGGCTACAGTCCCATTATTGTGGAGAAGTCAAGGCAGGAATTTCAAACAGCTGGTCACATCACATGCACAGTGAAAGTAAGAGAGAAACAAATGTACACATGCTCACTTCCTTGCATTGGTGCTCATCTTGATTTCTCCACTCTTACACAGTGCCGGACTCCCTGCCTAGGCAATTAGCTGGGTCTTTCCACATCAATGAATTTCATTAAGACCTTCACTCATAGATATGCCCACAACCAAATTCAGACAATTCACCATGGAGACCATCTTTCTAGGTGAGTATAGATTGTGTCAAATTGACAATTAAACACTACTATCAAAAGAGATACAGACATTGTGGAAGGGAAGGTGGGGAGATAAATGACTCCATGGAGGCAGGAGCTCGAGGCTTGGACTTCTCACCTTTTTATATCTTGACGGAACAGGAGACAGAAAACACAGGTAAGAAACCGGTGGTCCAGGCTATAAAACTTAATAATTTTCCTCCAGATATCCTCTTTTTCCAGGTAGGCATGACCTTCCCAACATTATAAAATTTCCAAATCCAGAGTCAT